AAAGTATATTTAAAAACTTTAATGTTAGGTGGGATTAATCACAATTAATTTCAGAAAAATGTGCGATTAATATTTATATATATATATATATATATATATATACACTGTATATATATATATAGAGAGAGAGAGAGAGAGAGTAGATATGTATTAGTGTTGTCAGTCGATTAAGAGATAATTCACCTTTTTTCTGAAATTAATCGCGATTAATCTCACCTAACTATATTGCAATAATTTATGTTAATATTTGTTTAGTGGCATCTTTTTTATGAGTGAAGGCAAGTATCACTGATACCAATACTACTGATGTCTCTATAAAATAGATTTTCCCCCCTAATATTTAACCATTGACTAGCCATTCAGCATTACAGTATAAATGAGAGCTTTCAATTTGAACATTTATTAGACTTTAAAACATAACAACTTCTAATTTAATTTAACTTATAACAATCTTCACATAAACCCATTATAATAAATGTCATATTAGGTATCTGTGACCTTCAGCAAGTATAGGAAATATACAGAAATTGTTACAAAAAGTTACCAAACAAAAAAATCTTAATTAAATATAAATGAATCCTTAAAGCTGTTTCTTTTGATGTTTGATTAACAGACATCACAGCAGCTGGTTATTAGGTTTTTTGGCTGCTATCACTTTAAGAGCTGCTAAACGTGGCGTGGATCTGACATGCATCGTGTTTTCTCACAATTTTTTATATATAATTGCACTTCAATATGAAATTATATACAGCACGCCAGTGTATTTGTACGTGCAATTGAAGAGCATGTGTTTCAAGCACAGTATAACGGCAGACAGGAGAGGAAGATTTGTTTTTACTGATATATGGTCTGACAACATCTCATCTGACCACAGTTCACTGTTGTTCTCCTGAAGCTCGTTTGACTCGCGCCTGTCGCTGAGGAGAAGTAAAGCGTGCGTATGAAAAGTCTCCCACTTGATGTGCTTGTAAAGACGTTCTTCGCGTCTAAATAAATGCAATTCTTGTCAAGAAAACCATTAACACCATTAATTTGAAAAAAATTAATTGCATGTGTTTAACACGCTAATTTTGGCAGCACTAAAATATATATATTTTTTACTGTACTTTACATTTGTTTTACTGTAAACATTGATTGTTCGTTTATTCTTGAGTTGATTGACAGTTGTGTGTGAGCAGGCGGCAGGGGGCGGAGCTCAGGCGAATGAGGATGTGGAGGAAGGGGGCGGAGTCCGGCGACGAGCCCCGCCCGTTGAGCTGAAGCTGGTCCCTCTGGAGGAGGGGTCAGAGGTCACGCTGAACAGTGACATCACCAGCGCACTGATGCTACAGCAGCAGATAGACCGCAGGAAAGCAGCCGTCTACCTGACACTGAGCGGCCTGCTGATCTTCACCACAGGTCAGCACACACACACTCTCACACTCTCACACACACACACACACTCTCTCTCACTCACACACACACACACACACACATACACGCATCAGCCGAACCCCTTTGAGCTAAAATATTTGATAAAATAAGTCCTACTGAAATTAAACTTATATTTCAATAAATTAACATGCCATCAGTTATTGGCCACATGACATGCAGGTAAACTTATGAAATATTTAATATATTTTAGTAAGTGCTTTATTTTCATAGTTTCTATTTTAAAATAATTTAGTTCTAAATTTTTATTAATTAATTATGAGTTTTATTTTTATTTTTTTTATGGTGTAATCTTTAGTAAGTAATATAGTAATTATTAGTAAATGTTTAATTTTGATTGTTTTATTTTAAAATTGGACATTTAATTTTTATTAAGTTTTGCTTTAAAATAATTTTGTTTAATTCTGTATTTTTATGATGTAATTATTTATTAGAAAGTGTTTTAGTTTTTTTTTTTTAATAATTTGTTTTAAGACTTTTTATGATTGTATAAATTTTTATTAAGTGCATTATTTTTATGTATTTTTTAAAATAATTTAGTTTAATTTTAGATTTTTATTTTTTATTATTTTATTGTTTTTTAGTAATATAATTTTTTTTAAATCGGGTGTTTTATTTTGATTTGTTTTCATTTTAAAATAATTTATTTTAATTTGACATTATGATTTAATTCATTTTTAGTAAGTGTTTTATTTTGAAATAATGTGATGTGAGGTCATGTGACCCCAGTGTTTGACGGTCACTGCATGTTGTCATTTCTCACACTCGTTCAGTCCAGTAGTGTGCAGTCTGTAGTGTGCACTAGTGCTGCATTCTCAGTGTCGGTCTGGTCCACAGCGTTCCTGCTGGGATACGTGGCGTTCCGTGGAATGTGTCGTCTGTGCGGGAACGACGGCGATCTGATTCCTCTGAGCGACGCGGCGGGAGCTCAACACTCGGCCGAGGGAGGCGTCATGTACATGGCAGAGCTCCGAGAGATGCTGAAGAAGTACCTGAAGGAGGAGAGGATCGAGGACACACTCAGGTCAGCAGCTACTGTTATTCACTGTCTATCACTCTTGAGACTGCTGCTTCAAAAACAGCAATCTGTACTGTATTAAATGCTATGGAAATATAGCTGACTTGACAAAACATTAATTCGTAAAGTCAAATTACAATGAAGACTTTTGAAATACAAAATCAAAATAAAACCCTTACTAAAGATTAATCATTAATCATTTAAAAATTTAAAACAAATAAATTGTTTTAAAATAAACAATCAAATTGCAGCATTTAAATTCATTTATAAATAAAAATAAAACACTAAACATTTATTAAGTCACAGAACCTGGAAAATTAAAATCAATTATTTAAAAAATAAAACCCTTTCTAATAATTAATTAAATAAAATAAATTATAAATAAAACCGACCTGTAGCGGGGGTCCTGTTGGTGTTGATGTGGTGTTTTCACTCAGGCGTGTGAGTCGGGCGTCTCATCCTCCGGGGTCCTCAGAAGGAAACGCGGTGGCCAGAGAAATCCTGCAGAACCTGCAGAACCTGCGCATGGATCACACCTGGACCGACTCGCACTACGCCACGCTGCAGTTTCCCTCCAGGTGAGCGTCCGTCTGCCATTCGCCGAGCCAGCGCCGCTTCAGCCAATCACACGCCTGCCCTGCTCCCACAGGACGCAGCGGAACACGCTCTGGTTGGTGGATTCCGAGGGGGCGGAGCTCGAGGAGATTCCGCTGGACAGCGAGGGATACTGCGCCTACAGCGCCACGGGAACGACCACGGTAACCATGGCAACCGCGCATAAACCAGCGAGGCGTGTATCATTGATACCAATACTACTGATGTCTCTAGGAAATTATTTTTTCCCCCCTAATATTTAACCATTGACTAGCCATTCAGCATTACAGTATAATTGAGAGCTATCAATTTGAACATTTTTTAGACTACTTAAAATAACTTCTAATTTATGTGAACTTAAAACAATCTTCACATAAACCCATTATAATAAATGTCATTTTGTTGATCTGGGTTTTATTTTAAATCGAGTTGTGTTGCACCACTTAATTTTAAACACAGATTAACAAATCGAGGATTAGAATTATAATCTGCGATTAAAACCTCCATCTACGCCGTGATGGATTCACCATTGTAATTAAACCGCAATAATGTTAATATTCCTTATCCTTCTTTACTGACTACCAAACTCTCTCCCTGACATAAGAGAAGAAAGTCATACCCTCGAGGCATCCTAGGTGTATGAGTAAAACGCAGCCTAATTTTCATTTTTGGGTGAACTAACCCTTTAAAGTTTGGTGCAACAGAACTATTAGATAAACCTTGATTTAATCTAGATTTAAGATTAATCCTTATTGGTGCAACCCACCCTAAATTCTAAATTAAATACAGATGAATCCTTAAAGCTACAAAAGTTATTTATTACCTCTTTTTTTCTTTTGTTCTTTGATTAACAGACATCACAGCAGCTGGTTATTTGGCTGCGATCACTTTAAGAGCTGCCGCTGCTGAACATGACATGAATCTGACACGCACATGACTCGTGTATAACAAATGCTTACATGCATGCACAGTTTTAATGCAGCTTTAATTGCCTTTTTGGTAATTTCATGACTTAATTGACGACATAACTATGACATTGCATGCTCGTAGTAAATTATATACAGCGCGCGCCGGCGCATTTGTCCGTGCGATTGAAGAGCACGTGTTACAAGCACAGTATAACAGCAGACAGGACAGGATTGCATGCGTTAGCGCACTAATTTTGACAGCACTAGTTTTAGCGTGTGTTGTTGCGCAGGGAGGCGTTGTGTACGTGAACTACGGCCGGCGCGAGGACTTCGATCAGCTGCGTGCGATGGGCGTCGCCCTCAACGGCTCCATCGCCGTGGCGAGGGTGGGAGGAGCCGTGAGCTTCGCCGAGAAGGTGTGGCTTGCGCAGGAGGCGGGGCTTGTGGGCGTTCTCATCTACCCCGACCCCGCCGACGTCCCGCAGGATCCACGGCGACTCGGTCTCCATAGCGACGCAGTCATCTCTGAACACGTGCGTACTGTGACTTTACTGAAATAAAACTCTTACGAAATTGTATAAAATCATAAAAATTTAAATTTTTGAATGTCAAATAAAAATAAATTATTTTAAAATAATCAAAATAAAACATGAATAATTAAATACAATTTTAAAATAAATCAGAAAAATCAATATAAAACACAAAAATTTATTAAATCATGTTTTTTAAGACAACCAAAATAAAAAACTTTATATTTTAAGTTAAACTAGATTTTTATCTTTATGTATATTTTTTAACACTGCTGTCTGTTTTAAAGGGAAAAAAACTGATTATAATAGCCTTAAACTTTTGTCTCTTTACTTAGTTAATTTTTCCTTATTTTATATAAAAATAAAACAAAATTTTAATTTTGCCCTTGTTCCTGACTCTTTCCTTAACTAATTTATTCAAATATTTTAAACAGTTAACAGTTTCATGAAAAAATTTACAAAACTTATTTTTAAAAGACGTTATTTACTCCATGCTAATAGATCTATAAAAAGTATTTGAAATTGCGCTTTTTCATGAGAACATTTAAACATCATAAAAATCACTTCATGTAGTAATCTTTTTGTACTGCTATTTTAAGGAAGAAAATTTTTTCAAAATCCTTCTAGTGTTAAAGGATAGATTAAAATATCTTCCAAATAAACTTTTTTGTCTCTTTTTCTTAACGATGAAATCATTTTTGAGCATTTCAATTCAGAAATCCATTACTTTTTATAATGTTTCTTAATTATAAAGTCCAGAACCTATAAAATCAAACCTCTCCAAGTGAGAATTCCAGCACAGTATCATCAAACCTCCACTAAAGTTGATGATGCTTATTCCCTGTTATGTGTTCAGATGTGTCTAGACACAGTTTACAGTCATTTCCCATCACGACAGGTGCATCTGGGCTCCGGTGACCCGTTCACACCTGGGTTTCCCTCCTTTAACCACACCCAGTTCCCTTCCACCCAGTCCTCAGGCCTGCCAATCATCCTGGCTCAGCCAATCAGCGCCAACGTCGCTTCCAAACTGCTGAGGTCAGCCCTGCCCCTTTCATTCCTGAATCGCAGCATCTCAATCATGAGTTTGATGTGTTTGTGTGTGTTTTCAGTCAGTTGTCTGGCGCTGGTTGTCCGCGAGGCTGGCAGGGCCGTTTACCATACGTTCAGTGTGTTTTGGGGCCGGGCTTCACGGGGCCCGGCGAGCGCAGGGTGAAGATGGCCGTCTATAACACCATGAAGCCGGTGCTGCTCAATAACATCTTCGCCTCCATCGAGGGCAAAGTCGAACCCGGTCAGACCGCCAGCACACGGTATGAGATTAAGAGAGCGGTAGATCAGCAGATGAGTATTAACCGGCGGTTTGTGTTTCTCTCAGATCACTATATCATCATCGGGGCCCAGAGGGACTCGTGGGGCCCCGGAGCCGTGAAGTCTGGAGTGGGAACGGCCCTCCTGATGGAGCTAGCCAGAACCTTCAGCAACATGGTGGAAAACGGTAAACTAAAGCAATAAGCCCCAAGAAGCCGTGGTTTACAGTGAATTTATAACAGCTAAGGGGCGTTGTTAGGCACGTTGTTAGGCTGTTATAAATTCACTGTAAACCACGGCTTCACGGGGATTATTGCTTTTATAAAACGGTTATTCCATATACGTAGTAAGGTTTCACAAAATAAAACAGAGCAAATAAAGTGTAATGATATTAATAAAAACAGTATTCTTCCACCAAACAATGTAGCTCCTCAGAATCAGTTGTGGTTGCAACAAAGTGGTTGCCGAGCAACACACAAATGTAAACAAAGGTGTATGTTACTTTGTAGTAATTTACAACAGCTTCGAACGCGGCTCAGCCAATCAGAATCAAGCACCGGAACTCTCCGCTTTATAATAAAGTTTTATAAATGTTCTAAAATCTTAAAATATCTAAAACAACCTGTAAATCTGGCCTCACGTCATTAAAAATAGTTTATTTTAAGTGGGTGCCCTGCAGCACGATTGATTCCTCAAATCATCTTTGAAGGAAGATATTTATAAAAACAAGTGCAGCAGTGATCTGAATGCCTGAGTTTGTTCAGAGGAGGTTCACGTTCAGGGTCCACCAGAGCCGCAAACCACCGTCAAACACCAACAAACATTTAACTCTGACTACAGAGTAAATACATGGTAAGAATGCAGTGAATCAGATTTACAAGCACACATCTGGATCAGAGTCAGTGCAGAAGGGCTTCATGTTCAATCTTACAACAATATGAAGAGGCAGAATAACAGAAAGCTGTGCATTAGAGGAGAAAAAGACAGACGGTTCTGACCGTGCTGAATGTCCTTCATGTCGAGATGTAAACTGGACATCAGGATCCCCACGGCCTGAGAACGCTTGGTGTTCAGCAGCTTCACCACCTACAACACACACACATACGCACAGACAGACACACACACACACACACACACACACACACGCGCACAGACAGACACACACACACACA